CCCGAGCTGACACGCGACCTCGCGAGGGCCCAGCCACCGGCCCCGCACCACAGGCCAGGACCGGCCTCGGTGCCTCAGCACCGGGTCACCATTGATCGCCACATCGGGGATGTCGATCCTGGTCCGACGGAACGCCGATGAGGCCTTGCAGCCCTCCCTCTGGCCCGGCCATGCCCTGCCCCATGTACTGGTGTCTGGAGCGGCGCCGAGTGGGGAGCCCATGTGCAGGCGCGCCGCGCGCACATGGCAAGAGCCGAGACGTGAGCCCAACTCCCCCGAGCAGCTGCTTGACACCGTTTACTCTACCGAGGGGAAGCACGCACAGATCGGAATCCTTGTTATCTGGACGCGAGTAGTTATGGTCACCGCCTCCATGTACGACTGGTCGTGGAGACCGATGGGCGCCGGAGTCCGATGACGCGAGGTGGGGACCGACCCTTTTGGTGCCCGCCCGGGGATAGCCTCATCCCACAGCCCGGGCCACTCAGCGATTGGCCACCTCCCCCTCGATGGGCGCCCCTAAACATGGCCGCTCCGAGACGGGCCACTTCCGTGTCACATGCCCGGCCACTCCGCCCGCCTCGATGGCGGAAAGCCGGCCTCGGATCCCCCTGCTCCATTGCCTGACGACGCGCGCCAAGCGACACCATCGCGCCCGGGCGCCGCGCCCTCCCGCGCCGATTCCGATCGTGGACATCGTCCCCTCATTGTCGGTGGCATGCCCGTGGCCAGTGCGCCCCTCGGCGTGAATTGACCCGTGTGCATCGACCCCTCCCGGGCACTGCCCGAAGGACGGCCCGGCGCGTGCCCAGGACCAAGCACACACATGCCCACCGATGATCCCATTGCAGGGGATGTCGACCATTCAGGATCCCTCCCCCGGCGCCTACCTCGGATTCGGTTTATAAATCGGATGCTCGCCGGCCCTCTCGCCTGTTTGCTGCCTCGCCCCAGGCCAGCCCCATGTGCCTGCCCTGCCCTCCGGCCCATCTCCCAGAGCCTTGCCCCATGCCCTGATCGGGCCCCATTGATGCAGAGCACCCCGTGGCCGGCAACACAAGCAGACATCGGCCGACCCCTTTCCACGGCCAGCGAGAAGTGGACCACAGGGCTGCCCCTCCCTTCCCAACGGGGTGCCTGGGTACGGACACCGAGGGCCTGAGGGGGAGGCCCCCCAAGGGCCACGCCCGACCGGGAGCCCTCTCTCGGTGGAGCTCCCTCCCCGGATGTCGAGGGGCGTCGCCGTGGCTACACCACACGCCGAGCGGCATCGGGGGCGCCACCCACCCCCGTGCGATGGGGCTCGAACGCCGGGATAACACCGGGCAGGCGAATCCCACGCGGGGCCCGTCACGAGTGACTGCGCCACCCTGGCGAGGCCCTGCCAGTGGCAGCCACTCCATCGCAAGGCAAACAGAGCAGCAGTCGCCCCCGGCAACACCTGTCGCAAGAGCACTCACCTCGTGGCGATCGTGGCCGGCAATCGGGGCAGCTTCAGTCGGATCGACACGCCCATGAGGGCGATCATCCCGAAACAAAGGACATCGACATCCGGACCCTGGCCCGCTGGGAAGCGAGTCGCCTGCCCCCTTGAGCGCCTCGGGCGGCGTGACCCTCGGCGACCGACCCGGTGAGCCGGCTTCCCCCGAAGGCACAAGCAAGGACCTCTGCCACCGGGCGGGTCTGGGCTGACATCGCGTGCGGATGCCGCCCTGCATCGGGCGCCATTCCACGCCTGTAGCTGTGCGCCAACCCCCGCATCCGGGCCACGGCGAGTGCGCCCGATGGCGAGGGCGCCGCTGCGCGACACTTACGGCTACTAAGTCCACCCCCGAGAAACAAAAAAACCCGCCAGTGTACGCGGGTGGGCCGGTCCGACTCGAGGCCCGTCCCTCTTCGGAGCTGATGCTCTCCCACGCCCGACGCACACCGCCAGACAGCCGGGCGAGCAGGCCCCCGAGCCTCCCTTGCCGCTCCGTTGGATGCATCAGTCCCCATGCTCCTGAGCGCTGCCTGCCCAGGGAAGACCCGGAGCCATGCCTGTTCATCTCGCCCCAGGGATAGCCCAGCTCCCGGGGGGGGCAGAGACAGACACACTGCCCCGGACAGGCATGAGCACAGCCGGCCATGGCATGCGACACACATACACCTTGGCCAGCCCAAGGGCGGCCCTCCCTCGACAGAGAGGAAAAGGGCGCGCATCACTCACGCCTCTCCAAAGACCGCGCACTGGCCCTCCTCGGGCACCCAGTCGGAATGCCGACCGTCTGCCCGCGCAAGCCGGACGAGGGGGGATCGGCGGAGAGATGGGCGACAGAATATGCACGCCCAGGGGGGTGCATACGCGACACAAATTCCAGCGCAACATGACCATGCCCCGGCGGGGGACAGGCAACGAAAACCCACTGCCCCTCTTTCCCGAGCCGCTAGGTCGCGGAGAGGCGACACACCCTCCGGACCTGTCACCGCGGGGAGGGGCGCCAGGCGCAGGGCTGCGCTGCGGCCGGAGCTCTGGCACACTGGCCGGGTGGGGGGACGAGGGCACAGCCAGGACAGTGGCAGCCGGGCAGCCGAGCGATCCAGCCCGGAGCAGGGCGGAAGGGCCATACGCGGGTGGACCGGACGCGGGAGAACACGCGCGCTCGGTGTACCTGGGGCAGAGGCCGGGCCTCCCGGGGGCGGAGGGCAGGCGAGAAGAGGGAGAGAGAGCGAGAAACAGCCAGGTGCGGGAGGCGGCGGAAACATGCGAAAAAAGGCAGAGAGGGCGCGACGCGAAAAAAAAAAAAAGCAGAAAAGCCGCGTGGCATCGAGAAACAAAAAATGGGGGCGGGTGTGGGGGGGGGACACACACGACCGGCCCCGCCGGGTCTGCTCTCAAAAAGGAAACACACACACACCCATATGTGACACTGTTAAAAAATCCCCCTTTCCCGGCCTTCGGCCGAAGAAAACAGACCGTCTCTCGGGGGCGCTGAATCGGTCGCGTCCAGAGGCGGGTTACCGCATGTGCCAACGCTTCTCCGGTGCTTCGCGCGTCGACTGGCCCTGTTTCCCCGCCGCCTCCGGTGTATGTGTGGCCCCAGGCCTGGGGGGAGAAAGCATGCCCCAATGCTGGTGTTGCTGCCCGGATGGCCGTCCTCTCCTCCGGCCTGAAGGCCCGGCCGGCCGTGTGCCGCGCGTCGATCGGCGTCGTGTTGCCTGCACTCTGCCGTTGTGGAGCTCTCATCCGGCTCCATCGCACTTGTCGAGACCGCCTGCCCGAGTTGCACCGGTCCTCGCAGGTGCAGCCGGGCCCCAGTGTCCGGCACCACCTCGTCATGGTGCTAGGAAGGCCCGTGTGGCGCGTTGGATGCGACCTGTGTGGAGGTGTCCCCCGTCGTCACCGGCGACGGTGCCCGGTGGGGCCATCTTCGACGGCGCCCAGCCTCCACCGGTCCCTTCCTCATTCGATGTTTCTAGGCCGCCGGTGGCAAGACCGCCAGGTGCCCAAGCCACTGGCAGGGGCCTGACGCGTGAGGGGCTCTTCCGGGTCTCGGCCTGCTGCCCGTGGTGCCCGTTCGGGGGAGGGCCGCGCCCGTGTAAGTGCGCGATCGCCGCCGCACCTTTTCCGGCCCCGGGCCCGCCTCTTCGCCCGGAGTGGTGGTCATTTCAACCCCCTGTGCCACCCGCGTCCCTCCCCACCGGGCCTGGGCGTCATTCGCCCTTGCTCCACCGCGCGCGCGCGACTCGGCGGCCTGGTCCCGGGGCACAGACGCCCCCACCTCCCGCCCGGGAATCGCCCTTTCCCCAATGCAGCGCGAGGGCACTTTCGATGCCCGCCCCCGCCCTTTCGGCGGCCGGAGAGAGACCTCCAACAGCTCCCCGCCTCGGGGCGCGCGGCTAACCATAACCATTGCCTGATTTTTACGGTGGCGCCCGCCCGGCTTTTCCGGCACCCATAACCCAAAGGGATTTACGTCTCCCCCTGGGGCGAAATCCTCGCGCACAAGACACATTCCTCTTCGCGCACGTGCAGGACGCGGATGTGTGAACGTGTCTGCCTTGTTGTGTGCCGGCCGCACCAATGCGGGCGCAGCCCCTCGGGGGGCAGGGAAGAGGGGAACCCTGCCAGCCGCAGACCCGGCTCCCGGGCCCGGCGCCCCCCTATTTACGTCGACACCCATGCTAATGTGCCATCTTTCCGGTCGCGGTGCGCGTGCGCCCGGCGGGGCCGCGGTGCGGTGCACCGGTCGCGTGTGGTCGGACCGTTGCTCCACTCCCAATTGTCTCCCCGCCCGCAGGCGGCCCCGAGCCCAGGTGACCCCCATTTCCGTGTTGTTGTCTCGCCCGCCCCTCCCCGCCTCGCCCCTCGGACACCCTCGGGGCCGCCTCGACTGGGCATGTTTTTGTTTTCTTTTCCGCGGATCCCCCCCGACGGTCATGCCAATCACCTCCCGCGGCAACATGTCCTGCCCTTTTCTCCCGGCCCACCTCGGCCGAAGGAGACCACCCCTCCCCGGCGTGTCCGAGCCCCTCCGCTCAAAGAGGTGGGCGGTCTCCCGGCTTTTCACATGCAGGCCGACGCTCCTGGACCACTGCCCCGATGGGACTAGTCTGCGGGTGCCCGTGTGAGCTCCGGGCGAAATATGCCCCCCTCCCTCCCTTGCCCCCGCCGCGCCCGGCCGCCGCCCGGTCACGAAGGGGCGTCCCCTGTTCCCGGGAGATCGCTTCGACGCGGACCGGCATGCGCAGGCTTCCCCAATGACAAGCAGCCTGCCTCGCGCTGTGTTTGCCTTTTCACGCCCCGGCAGATCCACACCCTCCAAGCGTGCTGGCTGCCATGCTCGAGCCCCTGGGTCAGCCGCCTCCCGGACCGGGGGCGCGAGGATTTCCACGACGACGCGGCCAGCCGCACGGCTCCCCCCCCCCACCCCTCGGGCCGGCGGTCGTGCGCGGCGCCGCCTCGGCCATGCTCTCGGGGCCGCCTTATGTCGTACGACTGTGTTTCCCCCCCCTCCCCCCGGCCGGCCTCCTGACTGGACCGAATGTGCCCGCGGGGACACCCGCCCCATCCTGCCCAGCGACCGGCGTTATAAGCATGCCTTGTCGCCGGGTCCCCTCCCCCGGAGGCGCCGCCATCCCCTCTGCCCGGCGCACGCTCATCCCTTCGCTCCACCCTCCCCCTGGGTCTCTCCACCCTTCCGCCTGCCGAATGAAAATCCTCCGCCTCCTTGGCAGCTTGACGCTGCTGCTCCTGGCCGCCTCCGCCGCCCTGGCGACCCCCGACCCGGACGAGCACTTCCTCGCCCCGCTGGTCGACAACCCGGATGCCGAAGTCATCCCCGGCCAGTATATCGTGGTCTTCCGGCCGGACGTCTCCCTGGCCAATGCCCGGGTCTTTGCCGACTCGCTCAACATCGGCCGCTTCATCCACATCGGCCGCGAGTTCAAGGCCGTCGCCGGGCCCCTGTCCCCGGAGATGCTGCACCAGGTCCGGGCCCGGTCCGACCTGGTGGATTATGTCCATGTCGATCAAATCGCCCGCATCCAGGCCCTGGCCCAGTACAACCCGGACTGGGGTCTGGATCGTGTGGACCAGCGCAAGCTCCCCCTCGATGACTACTACATCTACGCCATGCACGAGGGAGCCAATGCCCATGTGTACATCATCGACACCGGCATCAACCACGACCATGTGAACTTCCGCGGCAATGCCTGGAGCGGCTACAACTTCCACGACAACATGCACCTGGCCGAGGATGACAACGGCCATGGGACGCACGTTGCCGGCACCGTCGGCAGCTCCACCTGGGGCGTGGCCAAGAGCGCCTCGCTCATCAGTGTCCGCGTCCTCGGGGCCAATGGCTCCGGCAGCATGTCCAACGTCGTGGCCGGGGTTGCCTGGGCCGCCGAGCACCATCGGAACTCCCTGCTCAAGAAGTCCGTCGCCATCATCTCCCTGACCACCAGCGCCAACCAGCCCCTCGATGATGCGGTGCTCGCCGCCATCCACGCCGGCCTCACGGTCGTCGCCGCCGCCGGCAACGAAGGTCGCGATGCCTGCCACTTCTCCCCCGGGCGTGTGTCCGCCGTCATCACGGTGGCCGCCTCCGACATCAACGACGTGCGCGCCGGCTTCTCCAACTACGGGCCCTGCGTCGACATCTTCGCCCCCGGGGTGTCCATCACCTCCACCTGGATCGGCTCCTACACCGCCACCCGGACCCTCTCCGGCACGTCCATCGCCGCGCCCCATGTGGCCGGCATCGCGGCCCTGCGGCTGATCCAAAACCGCAGCATCGACAGCCCCACCGCCCTCAAGGAGGATATCATCCGGGAATCCACCAAGGACATCATCACCGACACCCGCGGATCCCCCAACCGCCTGGCCTACATCTACTACCGGTAGGCCGGCGCGCGCGCGCCCGCGCCTCGGCCCGCCTCCCCGGTGCCCGGCCCCCCTGGCCCCACTGGCCCCCGCCACCTGGTGCGCCTGGCTCTGCAGCATGTGCCCTCCCCCGCCGGCCGGCTGGCGGCCCGGCCATGTGCCGGCCTCTGCTCGTCGCATTCCATGCGCCTCATCTCCCGCCGCTGGATGGAAAATCTTTCCCTGCGATTCTTGAGCCCCTGGTCTCCCTTGTCACCGGGTGGTCCAGCAGTGCCATGCAATACAAGCGGATGTCCGATTCCTGCCCCGTTGCTTGTCTTTCCTCCGCCTCTCCCCCCGGGGCGACTGTCCAGCTCGTGGTCGACGGCCCATGCTGACGGGATCCGATGCCTGGGCAGGGGGGCTTGGAGTGGATGGTTGTGTGACCACTTGCCGGTCGTCTGGCGAAGAGCATGCCGGCCGCCTCTTCCCCCTGTTGCCTGTCACGCCAGTAGCCTCCAGACTTAGGTGTTTTGTTTTCTCTCTTCACACTAGTTGGTCACATTGCGCCATCCACGCCGCAAGACACCGATCGGGGGTGGTGCTGTTTCCCACCGGATCCGAGGAGCAGGTACATGTCGCGACCGAGGAGGCTCCAGCGTGTTTTAAGAGGGCGCGAGAAAGCGACACGACGGAGTCCCCGGTGACTCATTTGGCGGCTGGCTCCCTCGCCGCCCGCCGAATACGGCCGTAGACACGGGCCGACCTCTCACGATGGAGGTGCTCGCCAGATCCGGCTGGCGGCCCTCCTGACAAGGTCACTGAGGTAGTCGCCGCAGGCGCGCTCGGGTCACCCGCACTTGGCCTCGCCCATCGAGCGCCCGTGCGGGCATGCCCTTCGCACGACGGCACCTGGCATTCTCTTTGACCGTGTCGCCCCCGGCACCAGATCCACCTATACGAGGCCCTCAACCGCCGTTATGCTCGGGCCTTCCTCAATAATCCGCCCTCCCGTCTCCGGGTCCGAAATGGGTCCCTCCGGGCACTGGCAGTCGGGTCCTCGACACGGCCATCGGCCTCCCAGCACGTCCCCATCCACCCGGCACCCGCGCCAATGGCCCACTGTCCGAATGCCCGCTGGCAGGCAGACTGCCACCGCCGAGCCGGGCCCGGGTCGACGCCGCACGATCATCTTCCCTGGGGGTACCGGCTGGCACGGGGCTTGGAACCAGGTGGGCTCGCCGACCTGCGGCCCGGCGCCCGAGGCCCATTCGCGCTGGGACCGATCTCCCGGCCACCGTCAACATGCCCACGGTGAGGCCTGCCTGGCCGCCTTGCGCGGCACGGTACCCGGCGATCCACCTCTGTGTTCGGCAATGCATGCCCCCCGGGCGCCCGAAAGCCCCCTGCTGCTGGCGAGTGCGCCCTTCGTGCAGGGGCGGTGTATGGTTCACGTGGCCTTCTTTGCAGCGGGCGCCCAGCGATGGCCGCTCCCACCGACCGCATGCCCAAGCCAGCTCGCTGCGCGGCAAACCAAAGGGACCTGGGCCATGTGCACCGGCAATGGTGACTCCGCCCCCATTGGCGCCCGCGTCCGGTGGGCACCCCTCCACTCGACCGGCAGATCCAAGGGGCATCGGCGAAATGCAAAAATCACCCGTGTTCGGGCGCCACAAGATGGTGGCCCTTGACCCGCGGGCATCGCCAGCGCATCCGCGAAAGGCGAGGGAGCCCCGAGGTGCTTGGTGCCCGGTTCCAGCGGCTCTCCGGAGCCGGCAATGATCCCTCCCCCCGGCACGACCGCTCGGCCTCCAGTCCCTCGTGCATCCCTTCGCCCGGGTCCCCTGCTCATGGCCTGCCTGGATACAAGCCAGACGGCCATGCCTTGCAAATGCTCCAAGCAGAGCATGCATTCGAGGGCCGATGCCCGGCGGAGACCGCCCTCCGCGGAGCCTCGAGGCCCAGCCCGGCCCGGCAGGTGCATACCATAGGCAGCACGGTGATGCGGGCCCGAACGGGTGCCCCTCCGACCATCGAGGTGTCAGGTGCTCTTGCCACTCTTCGGCAGCTCGGCATAACTCGATCTCAGGATCTCATACTCAGATGTACCCAGGCGCGCACACACACTCACACACCCATTCCTGCCCGAACCTGCTTTTCCATTCCCTGCGACACCCTTGCTCGGTTGCAGGGACGACTGCTGGCGCGCCGTGTCCACGCCCGAGACCATGGGCTTCGGCACCGCAGGAGCAAGATGGCTCTCATGTCGCCGGTGGCGGCCCCCCCCCCCCTGCCTCCTCGTCGGGTACGCGCTTATCGGGGCTCCCGGACGCCGGGACTCCGGTCGAGCAACCGCCCCACAGGGCCGGCATCTCGCAGGCCAAGGTGACGCTCCCTCCGTTTTCCAGGCACCCGACTCTGGCAGCCTAGAGCACCCCTGCCGAGCGATGGCCCTCCTGTGATCGGCCTCGCTCCCCCGGCCATTCGACGGTGTTCTTGGTCCATGGGTCATCACACCGTCGTCTGTTTTGTTTGTGAGAGCATGGTTCGGCTGCTCCTGGCTCGGCCACGTCCAGGCTCGCAGGGGCACCACCCCCCTCGGACCAAGCCCGGTTCTCCGGCTGGCTCCCCCCGACCAGTAAAAGGATCTTGGCAGCCTGTCCATGCCCTTGGCATTCGTGGGTCTGTGGCACGGAGCCCACCATGTTGCCTCCTTACCGGGCCCTCCTCCCCTGTGGGTTCCTTTGTTGATATTAAAAGTATCTTCCAACGGGCTGGCCGGGAATCGGTCGCCAGGCTTCCAAAAACAATGGGGACTAGAGGGATCGAACCACTGACCGCTCGATCTGGAGTCGAGTGCTCTACCACTGAGCTAAGCCCCCGAGGTTGTGGTGGTTAAAAGGAAAGGGACTCAATAAAACTCTCGGGTTGCCCCACCCGGAGGGTGGCACCGACGGTTGCCTGCCCGGGAATGGTGGGCGTGTCCCGCCGCCCCCTCCTCGGGAAGTAGCAGCTGTGTGTGGATGAGGCGTTCTTTTCCTGCACACAGAGTTTTATCAGGCACATCAGCCGCTGGGAAGGGAGGCTCACTTCAAATATTTCTCGTGCACAAGAGTATATGGGCAGAAAAAAAGGAGGACGAGGCGGGAGACACACGACCATCCGTCAGGCAAGAGGAAGCACGGCGAAGCATAATCCCCTTCCGCCAGCCTGGGAGGGTGCAAGCGGGGATTCCCACCGCCGCCGGGTGGCCGGCCCGGCTGCCGCGCCCCGAGAGAGGGGGCGACAGCGCCTCTCGCAGCGCGCCGTCGGCATCTGCCCCGGGTCGGATCACGCGCCGACGTGTGACCCCCGTTCTGGTACTACACCGGCTTCTGGTGGGCGTCCGTCTGGTGCCACCTCTCGGCCGGGTGTGGCCCACGCCCGTTCCACATATGCCATTGTCGGATGCCCTGGGACGTAGAGCGGTTGAGTGGTGTAATGGTTATCACGGCAGACTCTGAATCTGTCAATCCGAGTTCGATTCTCGGCTCGACCTTCATTTTGTGCCTTCTGATGCTGGATCGAAGGTCCTTCTCTTTAAATAATCCTCCTTCGGCCCGTTCTTCTACCCTGCGTGGATATCGTATAGTGGTTAGTATAAGTGGTTGTGGCCCACTCGGCCCCAGTTCGATTCTGGGTATCCACACATTATTTTTGGCCTATGTCCGCAGGCCGTCCTTTTTTTCTTCCGTCTTGTCCTCCTCCGGCGCACCGACCACCGCCGGCAAACGACCACCACCGGCAAACGACCACCCATGCACGTGTGCCGGGGGGGGGGGGGGGGGGGGGGGGGGGGGATGGGGGGGGGGGGGGGGGGGGGGGGGGGGGGGGGGGCGAAAAAATCGCGACAAGTAACCATGCAGAGGGGGGGAGTGTATTTGCTCTCCTTTCCTCCAGGCAGGGAGCAGGAGAGAGAGAGAGAGAGAGGGAGGGAGAGAGACACTCCGCCGGGGGACAGGTGCAGCATCTGCACACACGGGGCGGAAGGGCACACGCACAGACGCCGAAGGGCGGGAGGGGGGAGGGGGGGGGGACTTACTCCTGGTCAGCCAGGCGGAACTCGCTGATCATCTCCACCAAATACATCATGGAGATGGAGTCCGAGCGAGCACGCTCAGAGGCTTCGACCACCGCATGATGGACCTTGGAGCGCTGGTCGCTCGGCACACCACCCAGGTAGCCCTATCGTGCCGGTGTAGCAACCGGACGGGCATGCGCCCGCATGTTCCACAGATGGGCGTGTGCGTGTTTGTATCCGAGTCCACACACATTGTTCCCGATGTCACACACACAGACACAGGCAAAGAGACATTCCTCCTGTCAGACAAAGCCCCAACCATGCACAAAGACAGCCAAAACACCCCCTCCCCCCGCGCCAAGGGCCCCCGCCCCCCAAACATCGCACGCACCTCGAACAGACGCTCAAAGCGAGAGCGATCCTCCAGCAGAGCACGCGACACGCGCGGCACGCAGAACGCCTCGCGGAAGGCCTCCCGCAGCTTCATGGTCCGAAGGAAGTCCCCATCATTGCTGGTGCACAGGAGCATGACCTTGTGGCCATTCGGCGGAACGGCCCGCATGGCCGACCGCAGCCGCACCAGCACCGGGTTCGAGTACACCGGCGCGCAGCCCTCCGGCCGGGAGTACTCCAGCAGGAGCTCCAGCTTGGAGATGATGACAATCGACACCGGCGACCGGTATGCATCCAGCAGGGTGTTCGTGATGGCAGCCAGCTTCTCGCTGGTGTTCTGCAACGTCGGCGACGTCGGATCGATGATGCGCACAAACTTCACCGCCGACTGCAGGGCATGGTGCACGGCGGTGGTCGTGCAGCCGACACCCTCCGCATCGCCATGCAGCAGCAGCGGCACCGTCGCACCGCCCGGGGTGCCCAGCAGCCGGCGAATGCGCTGGGCAAAGTGCTCCCCAAAGAAGGTCCCATCGCCCAGAGGCAAATCCACAAAGCCCGGCGTGCGATACAGCTGCAGGCGATCATCCCGGCCGAAGGTCGAGGCAATGCCCGCCAGCCCCCGGAGGAGATCCGCCTGGGTGATGGCGAAGCCATCCAGGCTGGCCGGGTCGAAGACCGCCGCCCCGCCCTCCTCCGAGGCCGGGGTGAACAGACGCTCCGAGGCATTGGTGAAGCCCCGCCGGACCAAGCTCGCCAGCTCCGCACCGCTGAAGTTCTCCGTCAGCGCCGCCAGCCGGGCGATGTCCACATCCGGCGCCAGGCCCCCGGACTCCACATACGGCCGGAGGTGGATGCGCAGGATTTCCATCCGGCCAGCCTCATCCGGCAGCGGGATTTCCACCTGGATGTCAAAGCGCCCGGGGCGCAGCATGGCCGTGTCCAGCAGGTCAATGCGGTTCGTCATGGCAATGATCAGGATGTTGTTCAGCTGCCCGACACCGTCCAGCATGGTCAGCAGCTGATTGACGATGTTGGCCCCGACGCCGGTCGAGTCGGACGACCCGCTGGACCGGGACTTGGCCAGCGCGTCGAACTCATCGAAGATGACCACATGCAGACGCGCATCCTCGCCATACGTCTTCTGGTCCTCGATCGCCGGCTCGAACAGCTGCCGGACATTCTTCTCCGATTCACCGACATACTTGGACAGCAAATCCGGGCCTGGTGTCAGCCCGGCAAAGGATTACATGCGCGGTGCGCGGTGCGCGGTGCATGGTGCATGGTGCATGGTGCATGGTGCATGGTGCATGGTGTACGGTGTACAGTGTACGGCGCACATGGTGCAAGATACACGGCGCACGACGCACAGGCACAGCACACAGCACAGAATACACAGCACACAGCACAGAATACACAGCACACAGCACAGAATACACAGCACACAGCACAGAATACACAGCACACAGCACAGAATACACAGCACATAACACAAAGCACACAGCACACAATACAAAGCACACAACACACAACACACAACACACAGCATACAGCACACAGCACACGGCACACACCACGGCCACCAAGAGACAGCATCAGTGAGTCCCCCGGACCCCAGGGAATGAGGATAATCTCTTCAGTTAATAGCCAGCTTACCGCCACATGTGCAAACTCACCCCTCAACATCGGCGGGCACGTCCCGGGCACTGCCCAGCCACCCGCATGCGCACGCACCATTCACAATCTTCACATCGTGCGCCTTGATGTACTGGGAGATGACACGCGCGATCAGCGTCTTACCGGTACCCGGCGGCCCGTGCAGGATGATGCCTCGCGAGTGCTGGATGCCGAACTTCTTGATGACCGACGTCGGCAGCATGCGCGTCGTCAACGCATGCCGGCGGATGGTATCCAGAATGTCATCCAGACCACCGATGCCCAGGTTGTAGCCGGTCATGCTGACCTTGCTGTCGAAGGCCTCGCGCTGGGGCGCATTTGTCAGGATGATCTTCGGGTTGTCCGAGATAAACACCAGCCGGGTGGCGGTCGCCATGCCGGCCCGCGGCGTGGCCACCAGAACACCGGACACGCCATCCTGATCGCCCTTCACATTGACCGCGTCGATGTTCAGCTTCAGCAGGTTCCCCTGGAAATGGAACACCTTCATCTGCAGGGTGACAGCAGCCACCAGGCCGGGAGCCAGGCGCCAGCGGGAGATGCCACGGAAGCCGGGTCAGTCCAAAGCCATCCAAAGCCACCACGCGGCCGGGCACGAAAAAGGAGACGCACCTCCTGCGACGTGTGGGCCACCTCGGCGAAATGGTTACGGTAGGCCTCCTCCAGCTCGCGGTGGTCGAACATGCGGTCGCGCTCGGCCGCGCGCTTGTTGGACTGCTGCGCCACGATGTCCAGCTGCGGTGCATGCCCGGGCGCAGGGGAGAGTGTAAGAGGCGAGGAGGGGAGGAGAAAGCACCAAAGAATGACAGGGCCCGCCTCGGCCCCCGGCCCGGAAGCCAAAGAGCACCGGCCAAGGCCCCGAGGCACGGACGTACGCGGAAGGTGATCGACACCATGGCCGGCGGCTCGGTGACAAACTCCAGCGTCACCGGGTCCCGCTGGTCCGCCGGAAAGAAGCTCCGGTGCGAATTACCGGCACCGATCTGGCCGCTGGACAGGGTGGACGAGGTGTCCCTGCGGGGAGGAGGTTATGGAAGCGGGGCATACGGCGCACAAGGAGTCAGCCCATGCGGCGGGGAGAGGGGCGGCCCGCACAAAGGCCGACACCCCGAGGGGCGGAAAGGGAGCGGGCCAGGGGGAACACCGGGCCGGGCCGGATCGTACGACAGTGAAAAGAAGATCGGCTTGTCGCTGACGGTGTTGGTCTTCAGCATGAGGTGGCGCGACGGGAAGGTCGGCATGTCGACCGGCGACGCGAGCAGGCACCCGGGCAGGGCCTGCTCGATGGTCATCAACTTCTCCATGGTGAAGTTCCGCCGCTGGGGCCCGTGGGCCAGGACAACATACTGCTTCAGCATGGCGGG